ACTGCAGCAGCGACTGGCGTTTTGTATGTTACGATCCAAAATAAAAAATGATCAGAATATCGTAAATAAATCGATACTTTTCTTGCTATTGCTTGAAATTTGAAGCTTGAATTTTTTATAACAACTTTTATGTAAGAGCTTATTTTGAAAATATTAACTAATAAAGAAAAATATTTTCAATTAATAGTTTTCAGTATAGAATTATTTACAGGTCAGAGAGATTTTCAATCTCTATCATAATGCTTTAACCAAACTGAAGAAAAGAACAGTAAAATTAGTGATTCGAGAAAGAGCGATCATGGAAATGAATCTTGCCTTTTGTAAATATTATTGTGTATGCTTCTGTGTTCATCGTATCAAATTGGAATACATGTCTTTTGTAGAATATGATAAATTTTGGATAAGAGGATCATATTGCTATACGATGTAGATTCAATACTACTGAACATACATATAAACGGTAACAAGAACGAGAGCTCTAATAATTTAAGAACTATTTTCGAGAAAGACACAGCGTTCAGAAACATTCGAATCGCATGGAGATATGTGTTGAAACTAGGGCTGACACGTTACCATTACTTTATCAGGTAAAGTAGAATGCATATACTTCACTTTACTGGGCAAAGTAAAGAAGAGTAAAATAGTTTGTATTGGTATATTTTATCATAATGCTGGCATATAAATTTATTCTAAACGTTTAGTTTATTGATAAACGAAGCATAAAGGAAAATCAACCTGAAAATTTATAACATTTCTCTTATATAGATATTTTAAATCTAGCTGCTTTTCATTTTCAAGAAAAAAAAATATACGTTGATTCTATTGAAATCAAGTTGAGTTTTATTTATAAAAATACTTCAGACAATTAACTTTTACTGTTCTCATTTAGAAATTCAGCAGCTTAAAGTAGTATATTACCATCATGCATCATGATTTTCTTATTCGTTTTTGAATAGGTTTAATCTATGAAATTCTATCATTACACTAAGTAATCATATACACGAATTTTGGAATAGATTCGTGAGTTTAGTTAAACATATTGATAGGCTTATGGCTTTCTATGTACAGATAGTTACCCTAATGGTAGACAGTGTGGAAAAGAAGTGATTAGTTGCGATGATAGAGTATATTACACAAATGATTCTGTAATTATCTTGTTTTGATGTCACCGATGATGATAGTAACAAAATACTTTTCAGAGACGAAACTTGTGCAAACTTGATTTTTCATATAACTTTTTAATCTTGTTTTTCATTTCACAATGTCTATATCTATACAGTCTAAAACGAAGTACAACGTTGAGCTATTTAACTTTTTTTTGTAATACACACACGCTGCATAGTACGACAAATTTCACACATGTTTCAAATAAACAAAAACAAAAACAGGAAGAAACCAAATAATATAAAGTTGAATAAACAAAACAAAAGAAAATTTTCTTATTGACGTAAAACCATGCAATATTTTAATGCTGTTGACAAAAGTGAAGATCGAGTTTCTCGTTGAATATATCCAACAACACTAAAACAGTATTCACTAGGAACGCTAATGACTGGTATGCAATTATAATGTTTAACAAATTGTGATAGTTATGGAAGAAGTAGTTCATGCTGAATCCAATAGTGATTAAAATTCAAACTTGAACCAGATGTAGCCATATGATGGTACGATTCTTCCTTTTAAATAGTATTTTTTTAAAATAGAATGCGTGTTTGAGTTAGATGCCAAAGGCATTTCGCATACTCAAAAACACTCATCTATCAATGGTACTTGTTAAGATGTAGCATTATTCGGTGTTACTTGATGCTGTAATGATGTTAATATCGCAATGGAAGTAGATGTTCTTGTTGAGATATTGATTCGTAATCGGTTGAAAGATTAAAAAATATCCAAATCAGATAAAAGTGAACTTTCAGCTTCACGAATATCTTAATCGCTTAAGAAACGGTATATTGTTGGATACAAGAAGGTTACAATCTAAAGTAGAATAAAAGCAAAGACTAAATAATTGTTGACACAACTAATATCTAAAACGAGAATTAATTAATCTTCATACGATTGCCAGTCTATCCGGTTTTGATGCTTTGTTCCTGTAAAAATAACAGAAATGATGTTACAAAATATAACTTGTCTATTTAGAATGGTTTTAGAAGATTTTTAGTCTATTAATGCGATTATAATTGCAACTCACATACAATTTATATATGTATTTTTGACTGCTGAATTTCACAAATATTTCTTGGCGCATGTACTTATTGCTTAATTCAAACTGAGCTATTTGTATCAGTAAATACCGTTCTGCAAAATACATTCAGAAACGATGTAAATATCATTAAAGAGAAATGTGACATAAAAAACAGCTTTCTCTTGAAATACTTGTTAGCTAAAATAAAACAATACTGGGAATTTCTGTTATAAACCGTGCCGTATGTGGAGTTAGAATTCAACAACTATTTTATTTTCTAGCAATCGATTATGCTTTTAAACAAGCTATCTGTTCAAAGAGAATCCATACCTACATCATGTACTAGTCAATTCCTGAAGAAAACTCGCTGAAACTCTCAGTAGTTACAAGCAGCAATCCCATTATCGCATCCCGCACTTGGTTTTGTATGGTTACAGTCTTTTTCGACTGGAATCAGAAAAGGAGCATGGTCCATATGGATTTACCGACACTTACGCGTAAAATCGATTTTTTCCTCTCTATGTTAAATTAATAATTCTTTCGAATTTTTGAATACATGTTTATTGAAGAAATATTTATGAGAAGCAAGAGTTATAAGAGTAAATAAACCTACAAATATTTGAAATGAAAATTGAACCATTGAACCAAAGAATACAATAAAATGACGAACTATAGATAAATTTTAAAGTATTTTTACAAATGTTTGAGATGAAAAATGAACCATTGAGACGGAGATTAGAAAAAATATAAACAAACATAAACTAATTTATATGCATATAAAAATCGAAAACTTCTGATTCTTGATATATTATAAAGTACTATCTTTCTAATAGAAAAATTAACTGCTTGACGCCTAATAAAAATTAATTAGTTCAATCAAAAATTTATTATCATTTTTTTTTAAACTTTGCAGATAAAGAAAGTGCGCCTAACTTATATTGTTTACTGCAGTAAATCCAGCATACCGTCATTACGTTTATATATTTCAATGTCGTTTCATTTTTTTTGTTGTTGTCTGTAATTAACTTAATTATATTTCTTTTTGAAATACTGAAGTGCATTTCAGAATTATATTAAAGCACGTATAATCTCGATAGAAGAGCGCATTATTCTTGCTTTATCTTGGTATCATTAAATTGTAATTATATCTGAAAGACGTATTCAGTCGGAAGTGTCAGTCTAGGATGCAATCTTTTCTCAAGGGCTTTTAAAGTTATCTAGGAGTTTAGATAATTACTGTGCTATTCAAATCAAATGATTTTCTTGAGTCACACAGACGGCTGGCTCTCTATTTTATGTTGAAAAAGTAAAGTAAAGTATATGCATTTTACTTTACCGGATAAAGTAAAGATAAAATGTCACCCCTAGTCACACACCAACTACGACACAACTGTATCTCATTAATTTAATTTGGTCATGAAACATGGCAAATTCATTATAACATGAAATGACATATAACATAAGGTATTGATTAAGGGATTTTACATTTAGTGACACTACATTTTACTAAATTAGAAATCGCATATTATATTGAATAAAATGAATAGCCACTAAAAATACATTTGTAGCATCAAAACCAGATTTTATTAGTAAGTTAATACTTTTCTGACATTTTCGTAACTATTTTAACAGGTAATTCTTGTCTTGTCTACTAAACTTCAGATTAGATATTTCACTTTAAGGGTTTTCTGTAATCATCGCTCGTAAAGGCATATCTGATAGTGTTTAGCATTATCTATCTAGTTTTTCCTTACTATATAATCATAGTTTGACTAGCAGCTTTTTTTCTGACATTAGGGTTAGATTGTTAACCCTGATTTCTCTTCTATAAAATTTTTAAATTCTTTCAGCTTCATCTGGATTTTGTCTAAACCTAATGATTGAATGTGATTTGTTTAATTTATATTTCAGTGAATCATAAAACGATGTACCGCTAATATGAATCCATTTCATGAATTGATTATTTATTTGATTGAGAAACAGTAGATATCCTTGAAGCATTCGTTTTCGCGTTGAGTCCGTATGAATACCAGTTGATCGATTCAGAATTAAATTGAAACTGTGAAGCTAATAATGAATCAGTCTAGTGTGTTCTGAAATAAATTAGATACTTTTCCACTGGAGAAAATCTCGAATTATCTATTATGTCTAAGCGTAAAATGCTTTCTCGAAGATCTTCTATTTAGTGTCATTTATATTCATAACATTTAATTTAAGTGATTAAAAACTAGTCATACTTTGATGTAAATATACTGATTCAGGTATCAATTTTTCAAGAAATTAATTAATTAAGATTGCTTCTATTATTTCCGATACATCATTCCTCCACGAGGATCTACGATCGTGGAGTGAAATATTATTTAGTTAGCTACATTGTTAGATTTAAATAAGGTTTTCCTCAGCACCTTACACATTAATCACATCTAAATCGAGTCAATCTCTTAAAAAAACCTAACATCTCGTTCTAAAAAAACGTCTAAATTCACGCCGTTAAAGTTATCAGTTTCGTTCAAGGTTGTTAAAGCTTGTCTCAAAATAGTAAGAAAATTATCAAACAACTCTCATTAGCATTCGTTAATGACAGATAATTTTATGAAAAACACTTTGATCACCAACCACTTCATACTGTGGCTTTTAATTAGAAAATATATCTTCATCCACATTAAGCTATCCTTATCATCATTACGATGAAATACACCAAAGGCTTTCTTAGGGACTGACATTTTTATAAATTACTACCGACAGCTGACATTTTAGATGCAGAGATTTCTTATAGATAGATAGTGTAACAATAAAAATATTGCTGTTTAACACTATGAATACCACATGTTCACAACCTCTTTTATGGAGTCAAGCTATTATTGACAATGCAAAGCCTCAACTTTATGCTAGTATTATTGCTTTATTTACTCATTTAATATTTTGGCTTCAAATTATTTTTTGTTCATCTCTTCGACAAAAATCACTTCAATGGATCTACTCTTATCTTATCACTGATATTCTTCTTCTTGCTCACTTTTTCTTTAGTTATTTTGTTCATACAACATCTACGAACTGTAAACCAAGCAGATCATGGGTTTTATTTATCTGCTATTTTGAAGCAGCACTTGATAATTATCTCAATATAACTGAAGTATATATTCTATTAGCTTTGAATATATGTCGGTATATACGAATAGCATACAATCGAAATGTGTACCAAGTCCATATGAAAGTATTGATCTTGACTGAATTTGGTATCTTTTTAATACCATTAATTATTTTTATTCTGGAATTTCTTTTTGGTTGGACTGAGATAAAAGAGCTTATTAGAGATAGTTGTGACGTATTTTATACGAATATCTATATTCAAATATTTAATACAATTTTCGGATATGCATTACCAATGTTTTTGAACATGCTGGTGATTTATGCTGGTATTCGTCATATTCATTTAGCATCAACTTTACAACGGACACAACATCATGTTTCAGCTCGTGAAAAATATCATCATTCATTAGTTATTCAATTTCTTTGTTTCTATCTTATTTGGGGTGGACTTTGGTCGCCATATGTTATTATTTCTCAAGTATCATTTAATAATCAGAATGTGATGAATACTGTGACGCTGCTTAGTTTTATTCAAATAGCATTTGATCCAATAATCATCGCAGCTTTAGATGTTCGTTTTTGGCATGAATGGCGAAAAGTCTACTTTCATGTAAAAAACACTATATTCTTTACTCGACTTAATCATGGACGAATTCAACCTTTAACAGTGAATCTTAATTAAATTTGAGTTAAAACCTGCTGACTAAAAGACAAATGTATTTTAAACACAAAAAACGTGCAACACTTTATTTTCTCTGAAAAAAACTTTTGTTATCTCACACAAAACCATCATTCTATAAATACACATTCGAGGAATAACTGCATTAATTGCTGTTTTTTTCTCTGTAGATTTTCATTGATTTGAAATACAGAATATAAAATATATGCTTTTTTTTAATAACACAAGTTTCTATACTAAATTAACGAATGAAAAAGAAAATCATAAATCCAACTTTAGAATTCGTTCATCATCATCATCATC